AACTGATCTCAAAGGATGTATTTCTTCTGCGTGGACCTCAAAGATGTTGAGAAGCAATGTAGAAATCTCAACTTCTAATGTTTTCTAAGGTCGAGAGAGGGAAATCCTAAACTCCTAATTATTTCTATGCAGGTTCAATGAGACGCAACCAAAGAGTTACTTTAAGTTACTGTTTTAGCTCTTATTATTATTATTATTATTATTTTGCCTGTGGTAGAATTTTGAATTGGAAATTAAACTGTGGCATTCTAAATATGTTTTAGGTGGGGTATTTTAAGTGACCTTTGGCAAAGGAATGTGGCTGTGACATGAGTAAGTAGACATTGTTATCTTGCTTGTGACGTTGAAACCATAAGTGGTGACGAGTTCTTGAAATGATTGATTATGTACTTTGAGGATTATAATGAGAATCTAAGTGGCTATGAATAGTACAGTGAATAAGTAAAGATCATAATCTTTGCCTACACATCAAGGCATTTCAAATTTTTTGCTTGGTCTACTGAAGCTAAGGAAAATGGATAGAAGGCTATTTTTATAGAGTTTAATTTTTATAGAGTTTAATTTTTATAAATAATTATTATCTGAAAAATCAGAAAAGTTAAGGTGCTAGACATCTCAATCATCCCTGATTGTTTCATGCTAAAAAACAACAAATAAGATTGCTTAGTATTCAATGAGTATTTGTGATTTAAAATATTGACTTTCTTGTTATATTTTTTGAAATTTAGTTAAGAGGAATAGCACTCCACGTTTTTTGAAATTTAATCAAGAGGAATACCACTCCACGTGTACTCTTATTTAATGAAATTATTTTTTTTAATAAAAAAGTATGTACTTTGAAATGTTGGGATATTATTTTAAAATATATATTTTTAATTTAAATTATATTTTTATGTAATTTAAACTAAATAATAATAATTTAATCACATGTAGTATGATATAGAGATTCTTCAACCAATACTTTCTCTTATGTTAATATAAATCAAGCTTGTCGATGAAATGAGTCTAAACATGTGTATACAACTCCTATGCTAACGAAAGATTAATTTCAAGTTTCCGTGGAGAGTATTTTTTTTTTCATTGACAAGAAAAAATATTATTAATTAAAATACAAAGAGTATTCATACTTGTTACAAAGTGAATAAAAATATCATCTTACAAAAAAAAAAACATAAAACATCATACTAATATGAGTTTTATTGAGTTAATACTTCATATTAATTTAATAAAAATTTTAATTTAAAATTAAGGTTAAAAATTTAACCATTTACGATATTAAATAGTAAACTTTAGGATGTTAAAAATTTAAAAAAATTTTTTTTACAAAAGGACACACGGAATATAATTTCCCT